GGGAAGACAAATAGCTAAAAGGAAAAGTAAACACCAGACATAGTCTGATTAAAATTAATTTCATAAAGGACAACTAGGTGGCAATTGGGGAGTGATACCAGAAAATAATATAAATATTCCAGAAACATGAAATCTAAGAAATAAGGGCTGTAGAAAATAGGATGCATTACGGACCTTTTAGCCCTGGTAGTGAAACAGACATCCTATCCCCTATTTGCACTCCACCTCCAACTCGATAAGTATAAGTAGGTGAAAATTCCCTTTAAGAGATCTGGACTCATTTAATCTGTCAGTCTGCCCGCCTACAAATATTTATTAGTTCCTATAATGCTCAGAACACTGTGCCCGCTGGGCATGTAACTAGCTGAGGGACCTTATCTTCATAGAGTTGAACTGGTTGAGCTCCAGGTACAGACTAGCATTACCGAATACCTAGAAGTCAAACTAAGTATATGCTTTTTTTTGAAACTAGTTTCTGTTTGAAATATTTAAAAAAGAATTGATGTCGCCATCATGAAAAAATAAAACTGTAAATTTTTTAGGCATCCTTTACTTGTTCTACTTCTCACTCTCATTTTTATGTTTAAGAACACATGGTATGTCAGGGTGCGGATGGGCAAGTACTTATTTTTGTGCTTGACAACTTGGAGTATATTTTTCCAGCCCCAGGAACTGACGTCCGAGCTCAAACTTCCTTCATTGGAACTTCCTGGCACTCTCTTGATCCATTCCCTTGGCCTCCTGCTGCCTAGGAGAGCAGTCGGTACACCCTTATCTCCCACCCAATTGGTGGTCTCTAAGAGATCAGAGAACGATCAGCTATTCCTCTATCACCGTCCCCCACCCCTGCCACCATGGTCTCATTAAGAGCATTCAGCCTATCTCTTCATCAACCTCTACATACAGACCACGCACTTTCCCTCCTGTAACAACATCCCAGAGAGCCAGAGTCTTGAGGATCTCCTGAAATTGAAGTAAAATTACCATTACCCTACACTACCATTATTAAATGCTGCTATTAAAAGAAGAAAAAAATCTACAGATAACTATAATTCTTTCAAAAAAAGGAGGGAATTATTGTTTAGACTGACCTGAGTACATAACTATATGATAAACCTCCTTGGCATAAAAGAAAAAATTACATGTATAAAGAGAGAGAGAGAATTTCAAGTCAAACACCTGATTGACTTCTAAGAGATCTCTTGGAAGCAAATGCTTAAAACCCTTCAGCTCCTTCTGTTTTGATTCATGAATCACCAAGCAGGCTTCTGATCTCAATTTACTTTCCCCAATGGGAGGAATGTATGTAATGGGTTGACTCAAGTATTCCAAACTAGTTAATAGTGAGGATTCCAAGTGTACATTAATAATTTTTCCCTGTGGCCCACTGAGAGTGCCCTAGGATTTTAACTGCTGTAATTCCCACCTCTGGGGACTGATGACCGAGCCAGCCAATTATTGGTGCAGAATTTACCTTTTTTCTCTTCCAGGGCACCCACAACATTTAGGATTTTGAAAAGCTGCCATGTTATTTGGAGCCAGAGAATGCTGGTAGTTGATTAAGACAGTTCCTCTGAAAACCATAGCTGACACTGATATGAGAGTGAAAATTGGTTGAAATCAAAGGAGAAAAAGAAGAGAGTTCAAGTTCCTCCAGCCTGTATTTATGTCTACATTCCTATTATCTAGCATAATTTTTTCCAATTTATTGGATAATTTCTTTTCTAGCTATAGTATTTTGCCGTATTTACCACCTCTGCTATGAACTTAGGTATTTTTCTTTAAATAAACATGAAATTAAATCACTTTTTTTACTTAGCCAAATTCTGTGAATTCCTTTGGAATTTTATGTGCTTAGTTATATTTTTCTGTAAATGCATATAAATGTACATATACATTAGATCTGTGAAATCATGGTGATAAAATCATCACACATATAATCTGTGAAACACAGAATTCCATTAAGAAACATTGCTTGATCTCAGTTCCTGGAAAACAGAGGATTGGGGCCAGATGCAGGGATGATGCATTCACCCAACCTCACTCCTCCAACACCTCCCAGCCAATCCCACCATCTTTTCCCCTGAACTTGGGATTCACCTGACAGTGTCTGAGATCATTACTTCGTATAACTGTTTTGAATAATCAGAACGGCCAAGTGAGAACACTTGCTTGCAGTCCTGACTTCAACAGTTCTCTAACAGAAAAGAGTACTCTAGGTTTTCCAAGTGTTTGCCAAGTGCTTTATGGGACGGTGACGCTCTTGGCCCCTCAACGGTAGTCTGAGGCGACTCAGAAGATTTTCAGGAGCAGTGATGTATTTCCCAGGTCAGTGTGGCCTGGGCCTGAAGAATGCATGTCCAAGACAGTTGGCTCAGGGTAAAGATGTTAGAAATGACTCTGCCCTGAGATTTTTCTCCCTTACATCTGGAAGCCTAGTCATGAACAGACACACAGAACACTGGCCTGAGGCTGGGTGGCTTTTGTTTTATGTGTTTGTTTCAATTTAAAAATGAAAGGAGATCTTGTTTCTTGCAAAAGCCTGCTCTTAATTTCATCAACCTCTACGGAAGGTATATACATGACACTGCTGTTAGGCAGACTGGGTAGGACAGGGTAGAGATTACAGCTCCCCACTCATCAGGTTAACATTGCTGATACCTCATGCCTCCCAGGCCCACCAGTGCCATCTTCCTGTGCAAAGGACAGAGTATTTGAAGGATCATTCCCATGTCATCAAGAGACTATCAGTTTGTCAGTGGCATGATGGTGTTGGTTGACTGATCATGCCACAAAAGAACATTAAAAACCTTTCTTTTATATTTGAATGCTTTATCAAAGTTGTTTCATAACCAAATATTTTCAAAAAGGCCAATCTGTCTCTTTGAGAATACAAACATTTGTTTTAAAAGGGAAATCTCAAGCTGCAAAGTGAACAGTAAAAGGTAGAACTGAGCTAGAAATGAACATGACAAGGTGCAATATTCAGTGTGTGTATCAGATTTAATTTTGCATAAGAAATGAATTTCTTCAGCTTATTTTTTAATTAGCTTAAGCAAGTGCATTCAGGAGCCAATAACACAGACTTACAGGAACTGAATTACTGAAAGGGTTCGGGGCCCAAGCTCTAAATCACAGGCCTTGAGCTGATCTCATAATTAACACTGAGCCGAAGCGCTGCATCAAATGCTCTAGAAACACCTTTGCCAAAGAGTGGATGGGGAATACAGCAATCGTTATACCCAGGCAGTAGCATCTCAGGGACTACAAAGCCTCGCCGAACATTGGGAAGTCAGTTACATCAACGTGCTAAGCAGTTAATGTCCTGTCAGGCACATCTGTGTTTACTACCATCAGATAGTCCCAGCTGTTCACATTGCCTCTGTTTGATGGTCATTCTGGGACCCGCGTGATGTTGAGAAGCATGTTATTAGAGAAGTAAATTCCTTACCAAGGATTGATCAAGGAGGGATGTAAACTCCAGGATGCTGGAGTTGATTCATAAAGTTGAGGACATAGACATGTCCTGGCCATTACAGAAGGTGAATTTATTTAGGACTCTTGATCAGGGCTTTTAGGGGTCTGTTATTGCTTTGGTTTAAATTATGCTTTCAAATCATTCCTGTAGTCAGTTTCTTTGAGGGCGCCTCAAATAGATATAAACCATTCCTTTCCCGTGGGCCCTGGAAGCAGGCAGGTGCATTGCTACTAGACAGATAAGGAAAAAGAGTCATTGAGATGCCAAGAGCAACCTCTCAATCAAACAGCTTGTTGCTGAGGCCAAGTGCTGTGGATTTAAAAGAGGAAAGGTAACGTGTCTGTGCTGGGCATCTTCCGTTTGCCTCTCTCAGATCCACTCTCTGCCCTTCTCTACCCTGCTCTCTGCTCCAGGAGCCTCTGGGGATTTGGAGCCCTCTGGCTTCCCCTTGGGGCTCAGTCCCTGGGGTATCATGGCAGGAGGGACAGGAAGTTAAGAGAACTCTCTCCCTCTCTCTGGCCTGCCTCCTTTCACCTGACCACTCGGAAATGTCACAGAGCAGAGACACCAGGATGCTTCTCTTCCAACTTTCTTTGAGCTTAGGGTGGTAACAGTCTCTCTCTGATTATCCTGAGTGCTGTACCATTCCCTGTGATCTCCTTACACCTTGCCCACATCTTACTTCTTCTTTTAAAGCTTCCTTGAACTATCCTAGTTTGAGTGTGCCATCTTGTTAAGACCCTGGCTGACATAATATCCCTGGCCCAAATGAGCTCACAGGCTCGTTGGTGGAGAACACCAACCCTGCATAAACGCCTAGAGAACAGATCAAGACCTGGGTTATTCTGCAAGTGAATGACACACCCTGACCCACACAGACCTTGATACTTCACCAGGGGACAAGTTCACCAAGTCTGTGTCTTTTTCTCTGAGTTCCTTCTGCTTTCCTAGTGTACACTTTGAAGATAAAGGGAAAGAAAAAAAAAAAAACCTAGAAGTCAGCCTCACTTTGAAGAGTTGGACTTAATCTTTTATAAACTTTTACCATCAATCCCAGGGACTCTACATTCCATTTCCATGCTTATTCTCTGTGCTCTCAGCCTTTTCTCAGACTCACAAGAATACTTGGTCTGGTAAGTTCTCCAGACAAGAGAGAAGGTCTGCTATGGCCCAAAATGTTCTGGTCCATGCAAAAAACTCTACATCCATTTTACTGTTAAACTCAGAAATTGTCAAGTTTAAACTCTCTCACTATGGCTTAAACTGTACCTGGCCATTCTGGTGCACTCAAGAATTGGGCAAAAGAGTTGATTAAAGCAACTTAGGGTAAGTGCAGGAGTTTCACACAAAATGAGAACCAACAATCACATTTCTATTCATGCGGTTGTATCTGGCAGCTCATTATCAGGGGATAGGATTTGGTCTCAATCATTAACCGAAGTGAAATTTCAAGAATAGCATGAAGAGGGAAATGCTTAGTGCTGGTGGTTGTTGTCTTCTAAATAAAACTTTCATTGCTCAGGATGAAGGACTTGTATCTCTCCTGGAGTGACTCAGCAAAGCCAGATGGCTCAGAATCCTCAGGAAGCTCCCACTGGGTTAAAAGAAGAACTCGTAGCTGCTCTGTGCTGCCTTTATTACTGGTTATGGACCACCTTCGTGGAACGACTCAAGGTCTCCACAGGTACAGCAATTTCTTTTTTGGCAACTTTATTGTCAGACAATCTGCCTTCTGGGTATGTTGTTATCGCTGTAGTCAATTGATGTTCTGACATTGTTCTTGGCAGGCTTGGTTTTCCAGGGCACTGCTTGGGGAAAAACCATGAAAAATCTAGTACTGTTTTGTACACTTTTCCTTCTTGTGTGTTTTACTGCACAAGGATGGAGGTGGGAAAATTGTACCTTTAAAAATCATGGTCCCGCTGAATGGAGAAAAGGAGTGACTTCAGTCCACAAAAACCTGTCATGGACAGGCTTTCCCATGAGAAAGAGCTCTGAGGTGTAGGAGTTTTAGCACAGAGTCTGAAATTATTTAGTTCACTTTTCTTTTCATCTTAGGTAGAAGATTGACCAAATTTAACTCCTATCAGAACTCAGATGTGCAAAGAAAACAAGAATACTTTATTTTGCCTTAAGCTGATCTGAGCTTCCAACCCTATCACTATCCACACACCCCCACACCTCCATCCCCTGCCAACTACCCATCTCCCACCTCGTGATTAACAGGAAAAAAAAAAAAAACCTGGTAAATGTCCAATCCTGTTTAAAGTATAATCCATTTGAATAATTTAAGCAGCCCAGTTACAGTGTTCAGTCTTTTGACTAAGCATGTTTTTCTCTGAGGTAGCTCCCATGTCCTGTTTCTTTCCTTGTGATGTTATCTGGGCACGTTGGTTGAACGAGGTGACTTATGAAACGTTCCAGGAGAGAGAATAGTTAGGGCCCTTCTACCCAAGCTTCCTGCCTCTTATCCATGTGCTACTTGCTCTGAAGGTGTTCCCAGGGAAACTCTGTGGTCGGGCCACTTGTGATCTTGATCCACTTCATTCAGGGCCCAGTAGCACTCTCTGGTGGATTTGACCTCGTTTGGGTTTGTGCTCTTTCTGTTGACTTCTGTGAGACATGGCTCTGACTTCCACTTGGCTCCGTCTTGGTTATCTCCTCAGCTGTCCATGCCAGACAGCCCTGTTTCCTCACATAGGCAATCCCTCTAGACTCTCCTCCAGTGAGACTGTACCACATATTCTGTCTACACCACTTAAGAACCAGGGGATGCTTGGGAAAGCTGGATAACAGGGGTTCCCTCTGCCTGGACCTGGTCCATCACTAGCTTGATATGATTTATCCTTTACTGGGGTAAGAAAGTCTCCTTTGAAAGTCACAAATAAAGATAAGGGCAAGAAATGATCCTGACAATGTACTTAACATGCCTTCTTTTCTCCAAGATGATGCCCAAAAAGGAAAACTCAAGAGACATATATATGGCCCTATAACTCCCCCCATTGTACTGTCTTCTATGCGTCTCCTCACACAAATTTCCTGGGATCGGAAGACGGAGAACGTTATTTGAAATGCTCACTTATGTCTTTTTAACTCCTGCTGAGCCACAATAATGTTAGAAATATCTTTTCTGTACTATATATAAGTAAAGTAATGCTAGCTGTGAAAACAACCACCCCAAATCTCAGTCGCATAATAAAGTACAAATTTCTTCTCAGTCACCTCACAGTCCAACGTGGACCAGTATTGGGGACCAAGATGCTTGTTGTATGGACTTACTTGGGGACCCTGGGATCTTTCCATGTTCTGGCTCTTTCATCTTCTAAGGTATCTGTGTTCCCCTCTGGGTTCTCTGTGTTTGGCTGCAGCTGAGGAAAAAGCATGTGCTTGGAGGAGTGTACAGGTTTGGGGCCAGGCTTGGAAGTGGTGAACATCACTCCTTCTTCACTCTACTGCCACATAACTGCAGGAGAGCCTGGGAAACATCATCTCCCCGGGTGTCCAGGACCAATATGAGACAGGTGTGATGAACATATGGTAGTGTCTCTGTCACAGTCTAGTGATACAGTCTATTCACTTAGCCCACCAAGACTGATAGTTGGTATTGTAACGGTGGGTTAAGGATTAGGAGGAGGAGATGAAAGGAATTTTCAGTATCCACTCCCAAGCTGTGAGCTTCCATGACATAAAATGAATGTATTTTACCTCAGGCTTCTTTAAAAAAAAAAAAATTAATCTCCTTCCGAATATGGGTGTCTACTTTGAGCTAGAGTGAGATCTGGTGTGCAGGCATGGGGAGAAATTTTTTTTTTTGAAAACTTAAAAATTACCCCATTACAATATAGTTTGAATAGTTTTAATGGCCCTTTCCCAACAGAAACATAAATATGAGAATGAACTAGAGCATAGACAAGGATCATTGAGAAAAGATAAACATGCTGGTCTAGAGACCATTTAGTAAAAGGGTTAGATAACTTCAGGTCCACACACAGGGCTGGCTTCCCAGACATGCAGTGTGTATAATCACATAGAACCCTCACTCATGGGGGCCTCAGGCGTGGTTCTGCCATTACCATCCTGAAATTCTTAATTTTTTAACATGGAGCCCATGTTTCCATTTTGCACTGTATTCCACAAACTGTGTAACCAGTGGGGCGCCTGGGTGGCTCAGTCATTGAGCATCTGCCTTCGGCTCAGGTCATGGTCCCGGG